ATCAGTACCAAACTCTATTTCCAAACGATCAACCAGATAATTCCGTGGCCTCTTTGATCAAAAGATTACTGTCTTATTAAGGTTGATGTTAAGATTATGCTCAGTGGACAACTTCACAACTCTCTCCCGGTTTAACTCAATTGCAGCAGTCTCAAGATTTAGTAGAAGCTAGGTGTCGCCAGAATATGAGATATTTGATATCATCTCGTAAACAATTAAATAATTATAGACACATATGACTTGGGTGTTTTTTGGTTAGAGTTAATCAATGACGTGGGTAATTAACATTCGCAATTTTTGTGTTGTAGTCGTGTGCCGTGCCTCAGTCAAACAAAGTTTTGTTATCGAAAAAATATATTAAACATTCAAAAATGTGCATAACATATACAGTGAGTATTCTGCGTGTTCTGAACGCCCCTCTACAGCTTTCAATGTATCTCATTAAACCCTCTACGTGGCTATTAGCACCCCAAAATCCCATATTTCAAAATCGATTCCAAATTCGCTTGGTAAATTATCTTTAAACTCATACGATGCATATACCTCCTAACAACCCTGATTCCATAACATATTGAGTTTAACTGGTTTTTTCGTTGATTAATGTGGCAGGACGAGTCTAGAAATTCATCCAATACTATTTCTAGATCCGAAGTGCATTACCGGCGGTCTGTTTGTGTAAACTGAAAGATCGCACTTTACACCGATTGGCCCAAAGTATATCCATGCTGTATCTCTTCAAGAATATTACCCTCATTCAAGAGCAGCACAAGTATGTGCATAGTGACAGCTCAAACAATTTCGAAAATGATGGCAAAAGGCTTATTGGTCTATAATAATACAATATTGATAATAATATATTGGTTTAAGACCTTTATGTGCAAAATGTGTTTCTCGATCTTTGGTGAATTGAATCCTTCTACTCAAATATATTCTTTTGTTGCTGTGAATCATTCCTAGAAATGTGATCCCATCATTCTGTAATTACCCTGTATGAATACTTAGTGCAAGAAGTAAAATAATTTTACTTAAACCCCTAATATAATGCAACAGCGATCATATAATACAATTAAACACACCAATTAAACCACAAACCGATTAACATTTAATGAATTTTGTTATAATATAATAAATGCGGCAAGTCTTGTGTTTTCAAGAGTGCATAAACAATCTTACATAACATTGTCTCACAGTAAATGATTGCATGACTGGAGTCAGTGTCCCACTGGTAGGCCAAACCTATTCCTGGAAAAGGTTAATAATTTGTTCATCGCCGGTGACTTTTTGCATCACATTCTATTTTCAAATTTATTTTATTTGCCCTCGTATTCGTGAAGGTGTAGAGTTGGAATTTGCCAGAATTGGGTCAAAAACGTTATTCACGTAGTTTAACAAGGCATTTGGTGCTTTCACGTTGAAGTTGTTGATCTAATTTGTTGCTGTGTTTTAGAAATTATTTAAGAATTTTTTTATTCAAGAACAGACTCAATAAAAACATGGCTTTGACAAGAATTAATTCGTTTTTAAGAATTTGAATTAAAAAATGCAATACATCGTCAACTTTTATTTCTAGAAACAGTTGTCTTCGTTGTAAAGAATTACGGCATAAAGAAAGTGGATACAATCAGGTGATCAGGGCACCTGATTATGATGAAAACTCAACTCTCTTTATTCACAAAAAACAACGTTCATTCAAGAAACAGTAATTTTATCTTAGGCAGCAAGGAGGCGCGCAGACCGAGAGGCTCAACCGAAAAGGCGAAAAGAATTGTTATTTGATAAAATATCACCATCACATTTCAACAAATAAATAAACGTACATTGAATCTTTCGTTATTTGGACAAAGAATAAGGTCGTTGCACAATTTTTTTTTTGGTTAAAACGTGTCCCAAACATAGCATGAGGGTCGTTTAGAAAAATGCCTAAAGCAAATTACAAAAAAAAAAATAATATCAAAAAAGGGAACGAAAGTTACCAGATTTGCTTGTAAAATGACGTCACGCGAGAACGTTGTTTTAATGGCTGTGACGTAGTGGCACAAATCCTACGCTAGTTATATGCCCATAACCTGCAGAATGTACACTTGCATATTGCATAGGAGCAAGCTAAGCGTCTTTAAGACATTAACATTTAAGGCATAATAATAATAATTTAATATGCCATCTGGGCTTGATGATTTCTATACTTTATGCTATTAGCTTTCTTGTAATCTGATCATGTAAGTGCTTGTTTGACTGCATCTTCCGGCTTCTGAATTTCAATTTCTAAACAGTCGATTATGGCGTAAACTTTACTATAATGTACACGGAAAGGTATAGGTAGACGTTTTTTTAACTTTATTCGGTGACATCCAGACTATTAACGTCTTAATATCTCGCTAATTATAGTACTTGCTGAAAATCCAAAATCATCACCTAGTCCAGCAAAAGTTTTGTCAAGGCGAATGTTTTGAAGAACTAGATAAATATTTACAAAATCCAATTTTGTAGTATCTCTAAGGAGCTTAATTATAAATAAAGCGTCTTTATTTATACCCAGGAATAATCTTGGATTATTTTCAATTTTGATAAAAGTGTGCTTCAATGCAATTTGCATGTGTTCCTCATTGGTATCATTGTTATTAAATTTTGAGCTGCTTTTTGAATTTGAATTGAGTAAACTCTCAGACAAACTAGCTGAGAATTCTGATACGTTCTCTGATATTTCACTCGTTAAACTTGAATCGGATGAGGAGTATAACTTTTGGTATTGGTATTCGTTTTTACTTTTATGGGAGATAATGCAATACTAGTAGTTAAGCACCTAATAGGCGAACAACTCTGACAAACTGTAACTGTGTGAATGTTACATTGAAATGACTTGCTTGCATACTTCGGTCTTAAATTTACTTGTATGGCTACTGATGTTCCACTACAAGCAAAGTTTTCGGTTCTTGTAACATCTTTTACGTGTTCCTGTTCGTGAAATGTCTCCTCTTCAGATTTTACGTCAGGCGCTTTAGATGTACTAAGCCTGTATGCATCTAAAGCGTCATTTATAATGTTAAGTATATTGCGTTTCAAAACTACGGCTCGTACAGGAGCGTCACTACTTCGTTTTCTGTCTTTTTGCAGGCAAATTTATGTTGAACAACATATTTTTTCATAATTGAAAAAATTGTAGAAGATAACTTTTTTAATATCAAAAATTTTCATAATTTAATGTAAAGAGGGTACTCATCAAACATGGGACCATTTCAAAATAATGCCGAATAACGAAGTTCAAATTGAATTCAAAATATTCAATTTTCAACTGTTAATAACTTCTAGAAATTATATTTTTTTCTACTTCTTGGAGATGTGTCAATCTATTAATTCTAAAGCTCCCTCTGCATCTTTTCCTGAGAGGTATTGTGCCGGGCGGGTTGTTTTGTAGGACTATTTTTGGTCTGTTCCTGTCCATCCGTTCTACATGGTTGTACTATGTCTCTTATTGTTTTTACCACTATTGTTCTCAGTGTTTTCATTTCGGACAAGCTTAGCATGTGTTTCGTCTTGTTGATGTCTTTCGGACTTCTACACCGTACGTCATGATCAGTCTGATGTCTTGTAGATTCTAATTTTGCTATCTTTGCGCATGTGCGGATTTGACTAGACTATACCTCGTAGGCATTCTGATAGTGCGGATGCTTTGTTAATCTGGCTTCTCAGATCTTTAACTGGGTCGTGGGAGCTTGATCTGTTTATGCCCAGAATCTGAATTGCATCACCTGTTCTATGGGATTGTCCTCCACCACTAGCTTACATCTGAGCAGATTTTTCGCGATTGTCATACATTTGGTTTTGTTGGTCGAAATGTTTATCTTGAGCTGGCAGCTTGCTTGGAGGAACTGGACGAGTTGTCTCTGTAGGTCGTTTTCTGATTCGGCAATAATTGTTGCATCATTGGCGTAACACACCATACCATTTCTTTTGTTGCCCAGTCTGTATCCGAGGTTTAGATCTGTTACTTTATTTATAATTTTATTCAAGAGAAGATTAAACAGAAAAGGACTCAGGCTGTCACCTTGTCTACTTCCTCCCGGTGTTGCAATGTTCGCAGTGAATTGATCTCCTGCTTTTGTTACCTTTGTTATTTAAGTTATGGATTATTTTTGTTGTGTCCGCCGATGCCCGATTTTCTATTAATATATGTCGAATGTCTTCCAAACGAACCTTGTCAAACGCCATTGTTAGGTCAATGAAGCAAATATACTCTAGCATACTGTACTCTACAGCCTTTTCTTTTATTGGTTTTTTTTTATTTATTTATTATGAATACTTGATTATGAGAAGAAATTATCGAAAAACAAATTTCATATTTTTCAATTTTTCTCATACTCCCCAAGCCTTTATTACCCCTTAAAAATAATTACACCAATTTTGAATCACCCTGCATAATGCGTACTTATTATAGTCTAATGATCATTTTTATATCATTCCTGGGAAATCCATAAATTTTCTCGTTCTCAGATGTCTCAACAAAGTAATTGTCTACCCACAACAAACAAAAGTAATAATAATTATGTAATATAGATTTAATTGGTTACAATTACAAAACATTCTTTTGTATTGGGGTCCCTGGCAAACTATTTTTCTTTCCCATCCATCACTGCAAGTAATCCAGCTATCAGTGCAGAATATGTTTTCTGTTCTATAAGATCTTGTCTAATTAGTAGGATTAATGAAAGAATGACAAGCTCATTTAATCTGGGTTACATAGTTTTATGCAAATAATTATTATAAATTAATATTCAAGCACTGGTTGATTACTGATTTGTTATTAAAGTAAACAAAGTGAGAGTAAATTTTAACAGGTAGGGTGTACTTTCAAATTGTTGAATAAATAATGTTCTTACAAAACATAAACTTATTTACCATTAAATGTTGATTTGGGTTATATCATATAGGGGAGTGTAAGGGCGTAACACGTAACATACATTAATGGCACGATCTATTTCAAAGATGTTTTCCTTTTTTTTCAGAGCTGTACTTCACTTTATCGTTTTTTCGTTGATCGAGACCATCAATATTATGGTAAGTAAATGGATTTTATTATGTTTGCCATAAATACGCATCACGAAACTATGATGCTTTCTACTAAATCTTAGATACAGGTGCTTGATTTCTCTATTTTTTGTGTTACAGTGTTGTAATTCAGACTTAAGGCTTCATTATGTAATTATTCAATTAAAAGTTAAAGGCCTTTAGAAATACCATTTTTGACTGTCTGTTATAACGTTTTTGATATGTTACTTCCTTTATATGTTAATGGTCTTTTCTTCTTTTTACGGGCGACAGAGAGTGATAATCAGCTATACTTTGCTGTCATCTCTGGTTTAATTTCCGCATATACTTATAACTACGACTAGTCGGTCAAGACCATTCTTTAATATTACTATTATTATCAATAACAAATATTTTATTTATTAATCTTAGCAGATTGTTTTTCGCATTTTAAATTGAGTAGCCAAAATAAATAAAATGTCGCGTTCATCCAGAGCTCTGGGTGTATCTTGGAAAAGCTTCAAAAATCGCTTTTTGTACGTATATTGGATGAAAATTTATTTTTTGTACATGCAGATGCATAAGACTAATGCAATTACAATCAAATAATAAGTCTGTGGCAAGCTTTAGCAAATGAAGGTAACTAAATTGTTTGGCTGGTAGTTATTGGACCACCTTGCAATATAGTTATTTGGTAATTTCGAGTGACATAAAAGTTTATGCAGCTAATAGTTTTATTGCGGTTTTTTTCGTTTTCACTTCGTTTCAAATTCAATTCTAGTCAAACTTTTATTAAACTCAAAAGCGGTTTTAAATGTCTTCTCAGAAATATTGGATAATTAAATGGTGATTTCAATGTTTCTATAATGCAGACGAAGTTCTACCTTGTAGAAAACTCGCCTAAAAAGTCAAACAGCAATGTTTATCATTTAACAGTAGGTTTCTTGATTTGTTACGATTTTCCTGTAAGAAATTGCCAAGCGATCTGTCGACCACTACTGAATTATGAAGACATTCTGAGAGCAAACGCAACCAAAAAGACCAAACAGCACATGCAGACCATTTAATAAATCCCAGACGACTAATTACAAATGCAAAATCTATCCAAAAAACCTACTGCGTAAGCCTACAAACTAATTATTGCACGAACGTATATGATACGTCAATACAAACGAATATGGAAAATATCGCAAAAACTGATGCAGGTAAACAGAGAAACAACCTCAAGAACTCAACAATTGTACAAACCCTATGCTTCACACGAAAATATGATAACCGTTTTTCTCTCGTCGACGTCCCTAATCCCTAATTGAAAAATAGCAAAACATTTGATCGGTAGTGCTGGATTTATTACTATATTCTAGGAAAGGACAAAGAGATAAACAGTCAGAGACAAACCATTTGTTTTCAAAATTTTGAATATGTAAATAATGGTGAACGTAATATGGTTGCTTATATGTATTCCTTGATCAAAAATGAACAGGGTATTTTAGTTTTTTAACTTTTACATCGTTGCTTACAAATAAATAGTTTCTTGTTTCCTGAGAAATGAGCACCACTGGACTTGACTGGGCTTAGCGCATTCGACCCCTCAATTTCGATAGTCGATTTAATACCAAGGTCGATAGCCTATTTATGTCGACGAAATATAGATTGTGGCTGTTTAGAACAATTAACAGGGGCCCACATCTCGTCGACCTGAAAATATATTTCAATTTAAAAAGTACAAAAATTAATTATAACATTATTTGGAAATAAATCTGACAATGTGCCACGCATGTTAGGCAAACGTTCGCGCGCCTTCAGAAGGATTACCACAATTTTTAATCAGCTTCAAGGTGTTTTGAACGTGACATGCCTGTGTTTTAAAGCTAATATTTGCTAGGGCAGAAACACCGTTATTTGAGCTTGGAAGCAGAGTCGTAACCCGTTTTAATCTTCAGAAAATACCTATATAGAATCTGTTCATTCGTAAATAACGAAAATAAAAGGTTATTAGAAAGACATCCCGGCAGTTCCATTAATGCTGTTTGTTCAGGAGACAGGCATTTTTCTTGGATCAATTCAGGAGTTTTTCCAGTAAGACAGGCCATTTCAGTTGCGAAGTGTTTACCAACATAAATAGGGCAAACATAAATATAAAAAGAACATTTTCACATATAAAATTAACATTTTGACCACAAAAAAGGTAAACAGTCTAAGAAGACACTACATTTAGATCTGCAACTATTTGTTTTGTATTTCTTTAACATATACAGGGTTGCTCATTAGTGCGTCAAAGTGCGATATCTCAGTAAATATGAAGTTTACAAGAAAATTCGTCCAACGAAAGTTTTTCACGTTTAAAAGGTCCACATTCTAAAATTACTTTCCAATATACAGGGTGCATCATAAACGTGTGGTAGTTACCAACTCTGGTTTTTTAAATGAAACCCCCCCTTTGTTTTGTTATTTTCAGATTGGCCGTTCAATTTTAATTTATGTTTGTTTCAACCGTTTTACCTGAAAAATTTACGATTTCCGAGTTATTCGTAAAAATGTGAAAGTTTTGACAGCTACTGGGTTCCACAGAAATCGATGCTGTACACTACCCGCTGCGAATTTTGGAAAACAGTTGTCAGCGATTCTAACAGAACATCATGATCTACGCGTAG